AAGGTTGCCTTGAACCCCATTAATCCATTACCAATAAACAGGATTTTATTCCCTGCTATGGAAAAATGATTAGTGATCCCTGATGTAGAAGACCCTCTGAGGCCTTCTGAGTGAAAACAATAAAACTGATTTTAGAAGCAGCTTGACCTCTCTTCTTGCTGCAGAGATGAACCAGGAGTGCTGGCACAGGATTCTCTTTCCTTTGCAAAGAAAAAACGCTGATCTTTTTGGAGGAAAGGGTAAAGTTCCTTCCATAGGACAAGGGTAAAACAGCATGTTTTGGGAGGTTCACTGCCCAAGACAGACATTACTGGTAAGAATAAAGGCACAAATACTGGAAGGTATATAGTGATGAAAAGAGAGCATATAAATAAAGTGCAGGCAGCTGAAGAAAAAAGCTATAGACTGAAAACCCCTCAGTAAAATTAGTAACTGTCCTCGATAATAGAGGGAAGTTATAAAGACTACACTCATTTTGCAAGTATGATTCACTCTTTAGTGGCTGCATTTAACAATTTTCTTGTCCCAATTATATACTTTAAAAATTAATTGAGCACACCCAATTTCATGTCTCTTTGCTGTCACTGATCACTGTTGCATTAGGTACCTGTTTATAAATAAATGTTAATCTTACCCAGGGCTTTGGGGTAGCATGGTTATAAATTTTAATCTGAGTGCTGAGAAAAATGTGAAACAAACAAACACCAGTCCTTATGATTTTCTTGTTTTTTTTTTTTTTTTTTTCACTAATCTTTTTTTTTTAATAAAAAAAGAATCCACATTCAAAGTTGAGGTTTGCAGTTTGCAGATAAATGAACAGAAGCAAAAGGTTTTTTTGGGAAGAAAATAAACTGATGGAAATTGCTATGGCAAGGTTTACAAGGTAATAGGATAGAAGATGCAGATTTTTGGGATCTGTGCTGTTGCACTATTAAATTTAGTATGTTCTGAATGCTTAAGGGAAGACACAAGTTCCTCCATCCATTTCAACATGGCTCATTAGTTCTTGCACAAAAATACAAAGTCATGGCTAAGAGCTACAGAGGGGAGCTGACTATGATGTTGTCATCCATGTGGCTGGATTATATGAGCAGTGTTCAACAAGATTATGAACACCCATGCCTCTAAAAGTAATTTCCCTATATGGAAACTTTGGTGGGATTCACCCCCAGATAAAGAAAACTCCATTAGTGATCTGTGAAGTTAGGAGCAAGAAAAGTTTACTAGCCTCCATGATCTCCACTGGTCTTCCATTTTTTTTTGTTGACATACAGGATTAGAACACATTGAAATGCCCTTGGTTTTCCCTACTAACCTCCCATGACTCTGTCAAGAAAATGCATGAAATTAATTAATGGTCAAGACACCCACTGTGGGACTCATCACCCATTTTCAGATTTCTGTGGTGTAGATGTCTATGAATTCCACTGCTAATGTAGGGTGATATTCAGGTAAGATATCTTATATGTTTGTCCTCTTCAACCTGGCCCTCAGATTAATGAATGGCTACACATGCAGTGGATTTTGGTAGCCAACAAGCAGTCTCCTGGGAAGACAAATGCTTGCTGAGATGTACTGGCACTGACAGTTTATGTAAAGATTTTAGCTATCCCTATAACTCTCCCAATCATGATAATAGACCAGTTGACATGACTTCATCAAAATGTGGCCAGGATGATGAAGGAGGTGATTCTGCCCTGCTTCCCTTTGGTGAGACCCCACCTGCAGGTATGCATCCAGCTCTGGGGTCCCAGCACAGGAGGGACTTGGACTTGTTGGAACAAGTCCAGAGAGGAGGCTAGCAAGATGATTAGAGGGATGGAGCACCTCTGCCATGAGGAAAGGCTGAGAGAATTTGGATTGTTCATCCTCAAAAAGAGAAGGCTTTGTGGTGGTCTAATTGTGGTCTTCCAGTACCTGAAGGGAACTTATAGGCAAGATGGAGCAAGATTGTACTCAAGGGTGGGTTGTGATGGGATAAGACGTACTGGGTATAAATTGAAATGTAGATTCACATCAAGAATTTGGAGAAAAAAATCTTTCCTGTGATAGTGGTGAGGCCCTGTCACAGGTTGCCCAAAGAAGCTGTGGCTGCCCTATCCCTGGAAGTCTTCCAGGCCAGGTCAGACTGGTCTGACCAATCTGTGGGGGTCAGATGGGGGTCTTGACCACCTTCCAGTAGAAGGTGTCCCCCTCTACAGCAGTGGTGTTGGAAGTAGGATGATCTTGAAGGTTCCCTTCCAAGACAAATAATTAAATGATTTTACTTTATTTTTCATCAAGAAGTCTAAATAAAAAATTATTTGAGATAGCAGACCCAAAGGAAGAGGTTTTATTCCCAAGTAATATACATATTTGTCATTAATGGTTATTATACTGATGTTAAAAGATGCTTTCAGTTGAACTGTCCCATGATTACCAAATACCACAAATTCCAGATTTCTTATTCTCTCCCGCTGGGGGTGAGGTGGCACAGATTATCTTTCCTGCTAAGAAAATAAAACAAAAATTATGGAGCCACTTTAAAAGGAAAAATGGGAGATTAAAGAAAAGTCATAATGTAGCTTGAGAGGACAAACTCTATAAAGAGATTGCACCTTGCTCTCTAACTGCACAGAGCATATTAAGATCATAATATTCTATGCCTTTTTGGGCTTTGGGAAAAGAAGGCTGTCCCCTGACTAGCAGAATAAATGAAACCTCGCTTCTTATGTTTGTTCTGCTTGATATTAGGTCCTCTAATATCTAATCTAAGTGTGAATTATGTCTGATAATTTTTGCCATTTCATGTTTACTTCTAAACTTTCGTGAAACTGACATTTCTTTTGAGGTTTAATAAAAACCATGCATATAAAATATACAAGAGCACTGCACTTTTTTTAATTATAACCAAAATTCAAATATTGCTTCAGTATATTCAATATCAGATATTTCCAGTTCTACTGTAAATGAGCAGAAAGAAAGACATACAGATACAGATACACTGACACAGACACATGACTGTAAATACTTTATTTCCTTTGGGAATTGGGGCCACATTACAGATATGAGTCAGAGGTCTTTCCTCTTCCTCTGATCAGATTTGCTCACATCTTTTCAATTTGTCTGTTATTGCTGTCCCCAGAAACAAAACACATCTTTAGCTGAATTGAGAGGCACAAGCTACTGTGAAATTTAAATAAAGTTATCTAATATTGCTGGTGGTTCTTTCTTGAAATGAGTTAGTATGATGAATCAATGTGGTACGTGTGCCTGGACTGCCTAGAACCATCCCATTTCCCTCACTACAAATTTAAACACTACAATTTAGAAATTTAATTTTCATTTTTGCTTTGTTAAATTTCTTGCTGAAAAATGTTCATGCAGCAAGAATAAGATTTACAGATACCCTAGTGGTAATAAGAAACACAAGCTTTTGTTGAGAAAATCAGAATATAATTGTTACCTAGGGTATTTCAAAATAGCACACAACAATTAAGGTTTGAAATAACCTGTTTGCCAAGTATATCTCATTATTTCAGCACAGCCAGTAGTACAAGAAAAGGGTTAAACATGATTACAGGTAACATAACAAAATCTGTTTCTACAGAAGAGGCCATCTTTTTTTCTATCAGATGTATTTTTACCAAGTTGGTATTCCCTCCAGGACCAACCAAAATTCTGTGAAAGTTAGGAAATTTGACATCATGCTGTCGTGGTTTGACACGGAAAGATAATTTTTTCCGGAAGGAAGGGGTCAATTTAGATATTGACCAATTGAAAGTAGACACGCCTCTGAGAACACAGAGGGGTTGAAAGCAGAATTCCCAGGGGAACTCGCTCTCTTTGGTTCCGGTCAGAGTGCAGTGCAGACCTTCCCCTGCCCAGCCACGAGCTGGGTGGGGGAGGGGAAGCCCATGGCCTGAGAAAGGTAGGCCGAAAGCCCCAAGGGTGGTGAAAGGACTGGAACCGGGCTGGCCCCTGCAGATGGAAGGGTGGAAGAAATCTGGGATGTCTCCATTTCCCCCCCCCCCAGAATTCCTCTCCCGAGAGGGAGAGAGAAAGCTGCAAGGAAGGAGGAGCGGGGGGAGCTGCTGCAAGGTGCCCAGTTGTGTGGGAGTTGCTGGATGTCCGGGCATCGAGCCATCCTGGGAGTTCGGACTTTTAACCCTTCCTTGAGAAATGAAAGCTTGTGAATTTTCCTTTCCCCTCCTCGGTTTGAAAGAGAGGAAGAGGGACACCTTGGACCCTGGGATGGGATGTTGGAAGGAGGAATTCTGGATGGGAGGGGGACAAGGAGTGGCTTTTGGCTGGACTTTTCCATGTTAGCCACAACCTGAACCAAATCTTCCCCTTCAAGAGGGACTGTGTTTTGGGAGGATGCCAGTGAGTCAAGAGACCTGCTTCAGCTGGGAAAAAGACAAAAGTGGAGTGAACGGAGAAAAGGTTAGGGGGTTTGTGGTGGTGCCCCTGTCCTGGAAAGGAAAGAGAAGAGAAGAAGATCTCTGTTCTTGAGCCCTCGGCCCCAGGGGAAAATGGGGGGGACTGTGGTCCCAAACAATGAGAAACTGAACTGTTGTTTTCTCCCCTCTTGGCAGGGCATCCTTGAAAGGAAAAATCCTAAAGGCAGTCTGACCATCCATGCATTGGTGGTGAGAGCACTGTGCATGGAAAGGAGAAGGGTCACCATAGCAAACTTTTCTCCGGGCGGTGCCATGTGTGACATGGAAACACAGGATGTGGAGCTGTGTTTCTTGGGGGGTCTGTGGCACAGGAGAGACTCTGTTCCCCCGATGGACTGAGTATCGGTTGTTTGAAGGGTGGAAACCTCATTGGGGTCCAGATTGTGTCTCACTGTGGTTTGTTGGAGTTGGGTGGTGGGGGGGAGGAATGATTTGCAAGGTTTTCATTTGGATCTTTGTGTGTTTTTTTTTTTCCCTTCTTTAGTTTTCTCTTTTCTTTTGTAGTGGTAGTTTAATAAAGGTTTTTTCCTGTTATTAAGCTTGGGCCTGCTTTGCTCTATTCTAGATTCCACTTCACAGCATTCAAGGTAGGGATCACATTTTCATGGGGGCACTGGCATTGTGCCAGTGTCAAACCATGACACATGCTTTTCCTAGTGTTGAGAAAATCATATTTTTGTTCTTTAGCTGAAGTTACTGGCTTCAAGTATCTGTTTGCTGCAGTTCAGGGGGAAGGGGAAAAAAGAAAGGGAGAGATAGGGGAAGCGAGGGAACAAGGAAAGGAAGGAAGGGAGGGAGGGAGGGAGGGATGGAGGGAAGGAGGGAGGGAGGGAGGAAGGGAGGAAAGGAGGAAGGATTTGGTCAAGGTATTAAATCAGTGCAAACAGGGTCATGATATTGAATAGAGGTGTCTATGAATCATAGAAGAATTAACACAGTGCAATCCTTTGTCCAGTTGAGTCAGGCTTCTCAGGTTATTCTTTTTCTCAGACCTTAGAAATAAATAAATAAAGAAATGTATTAGAAAAATGTGCATAGTACACTTTTGCAGAGGAAAAAAAAATGATTTTGAATGTGATCTGGCTCAGATATTCAGTGAGAATAGAAAAGGACAACTACATCTTAAGGAATTATATTACATAGCAAAATATTTTTAGGCAAATGCTAGAAGAGAAAAAAATTACAAACAACCCAGAAAAAGACTAAACTGAATACAAGGAAAAAAGGCTGTGCTTAGTGTCACTGAATTCAGTGATTACATGACACAGGGTTCATTCAGGACCTAGTGAGTGATCTACAGCCTGTGTTCTGCAGGAGGTCAGAATTGAGATTAAAGTGACCTTTTCTAGCCTCAGATTCCATGAATCCAGTTCTGAACCCAGAATCCCAATGGAAAGTAAGTGACGATATAGAGTCTTTGGAGTAAGCTAACCTATGGTTGATGGATGGTTTTACTTCTTTATTTCCATAGAGTCCCCCACCATATTACTCACACAAAACAACTTTCTCACTTGTGGCATTCAAAACTTTTACAGATAAAAGAGCAATGGGTATATACATCACCACAAGTACCTCCAGTTAGGAAATGAGAAAAGGTTTTAAAACTACTGGGAGATACAGTTTCTGGAGTAATTAGGGAAAAAAAAAAAAAAAAGGTACAGGAGTACACTTCATATGTTCACGTGCAAAACAAAAAAGTATGATCTGCAATAATGGGGAACTGGACTAAGCAGCTGAGAAAACTTGTTCAAACTTTATTGCTTAATCTTCCTAAATCTTTGGAAATTACAGTATAGATTTGCCGGTGTCACTTAATGACTGAGGCACAGAAAAATTTTTTGTTTTCAAGATGAGCTGGATTCTGCATGAGCAAGCACTGTCTTAACACATTCATTTTAAAACTCACAATGGAAAGACAAAGTTGCATGGGTTGTTTGAAACAGTAAATCCCACCTTCAGATACTGCATACCCTTTCCTCCCTCTCTTTTCAGTCAGCTGTCTTCATGGCCCCTTGTTTAAATGGCACTCACTCACTGGACTAGGTCCAACAGCCTTAATTTCTACTCTGAATCCACCTCTGTATTTCACCATGATAGACAGAAAAAATATGGGTATAGAGAGGGTTAATTCTGAAAGACTACAAGGGGGGAAAAAAAAACAACCCTGTGTAGAGTGGGAAATTAGTCAGCAGAGACCTGACAAAGTGCTTCCTACACATGCTGTTCTGTCAGGCTGCACAGCTTCTTCTGCTTCAGAGGTAATTACATAGATTTTCTGTCTTGTACTTGCAAAAACACAGCACAGCACTCCACCACTGCTTGTAGCTCAGTGCTTCAGGGCTCCAGCTGCATGGGGCTGGAAAATGTTTACACAATTTCTTTTAAGATTTTTAAACCACAGTAAGGGACATGGCTAACTCTTCATCTGAGGGGGCATATGAAAGAGTCCCCTCTGAAGCTGGGCTTGGTTGAAGGGAAGGACTTCCTTGTAAGGCAATGTAATTATCTCTCTCTCAAGGAAAGAGAGATTGTGTGACTTCTGCCACAAAATAAATCAAACAATAAATGTTTCTGAATGTTTTAACTAGAGAGGACTCAAAACACTTTTGACATTGATCAGGATTTCAAATTCTCACTGTTTCAGATACAGAATTGTGGTCTTTAATCCTTCAGAAATTTTATACAGTGGTTTCCTGGGGCCCATTCAGAAATGCATCCATTCTTTTTGATTTGACACTTGCACAGATATACATATTCAACATATATCAAGGTGTTTGTCATTAAAAATAATATCTGTGAATATATATATATATTCCTCCTTCATTACTTTGAACTGCTTCAATAATTTTGTGGTTAATGCAGTACTGTGATTAGTATTTCAAATCAACTATAAATACAGATTTAAATATTCAAGCCAATGCTTGCAACCTGCACTTTCATTAGGTGTTCAGAATAAAATGTCTTTTTTTTTTTGAAAAGACATTTCTACAGTTTAGTAAAAATTTAATGTATTATTCTAACATGGAACTACATGAGGTATGACACAGCCTACCTTTAAATATGTTCAGGTCTATGTACACGTCTTAAGGTAATTATGGAATCTACAGAAATAATAACCATAATAATAAAAAATACCCTTAAAATTCAGGGTGAAAGTGATATAGAAAGTCTACCTAATCACCTTGAGATGGGAGAAATTTCTTTTCTGTTGTCTATGACATACTGTCTACACTCTTCATAAAAAATTCCAGCAGTCCTGAACTGCATTTCCATCTCTTCCATGTTAGAAACTTCATTCCTGTTACTTTTGCTTCATCTTCTTTCAGTTGCCAAATGGAATTGCCCCTTATCCATAACGCAAACTTTATTTCCTCTCTAGCATTGCCTTCAGAATGGCTGAAAACCTCCCCATTTTCACTCACCATTCTCTTTCTTTGACAAAATGTCTGTATATTTCCTACTTGTCAAGTTTTCCACATTTTTGACTACCCTTGAAATCTCACAAAACCCACTTAAAACCAGTTTTCTGAGCTGTAACACTGAAATAAAGTAGATAAATTGAAGTGTACATTTTAAAATAATAAAACATAGGGAATTTTTATTTTATTTGGGTTTTCATTGGCTTATTTTATTTTGTTTACTTACAAAAAGAAATGTGATGGGCACTTCTTAGATAAAAAACTGCAATTTGTTGCTTTGAGTTGCAACTTCACTATAAATACAGCAGTAGATTATCACAGCTTTTGTTTAACTTACACAGAATTCCAGAATGAGTCAGGTTGAAAGAGACCAGAGGCTTTGGAGTGATCTGGTCCAACCACCCTGCTCAAGCAGGGCCATCCTAGAGCATATTGCACAGGATTGTGTCCAGATGGTTCTGGAATATCTCTGGGGGGGATACACCACACCCTCTCTGGACAAGCTGTTCCAATGTGTGGTCACTTGATACTTATACTTAATTTTCAACCTAGAGGAAGGAATATATAAAACTAAGTTCATTACAAAAGCCTGAAATAATGAAACCATTTGATTAGTGTAAGACATTTGTTTTGTCTTTCAGCACCCATATTACCTTTTTCCTTCTCTATCATGTTTATTTTCATCACAATCATGACTTGTGCACCCTTCTTATATGCCATCAATTTGTTATCTCCAAAGAAAAACAGTCCTTTTTACCTGGTGGCAGATATTTGGCTCCTAAACAATTTCTCTTCTCATTGTGACCTTGCTTCAGGCTGAGATATTAAGAGGAGGGAAGGGAAAGGGAAAAGGGAAAAGTGAAAAAAGGGAAAAAATTGAAAAAAATCAGGGAAAAGGTGCAGTTAGACCTCAGTCCTTTAGAAAATGTCATCTGATTTGAGCAGGAGCAGTACAAGGCATGAAGGAGGATCAAAGCAAAATGTAATCATTGCATTTCAAGTTTATTTTTTTTCCATGTTTTTGCAGGTTTTGGTACTTTCAGGATCTATTTCTCACATCTTTTCCAGGCACATAGATTTTCATGTGTGGACAGAAGGTGAGAAGTTGACAGCATAACTTTGCCACAGGTAAATAGGGAAGATTTTCTTTAAAGCAACTGCTAAGATTTTGTGTTGTCTTTAGATAAACTCAATGAACTTCCATACTAGATAATTCTGATTTGAATATGTGCTTGTTTATTGCTTGGAAATAAAGGCAACTCTACTTGTTTAAAGGAATTTGTATTCTCACTGGTTAATAATAATTCACTCTAACTTGAGAAGAGGGATTTCTTTTTTCTCTGTTTTTTGATGGGGGGTGGTGTTTGTTTTTTGGGCTTTTTTTGGTTTGGTTTGGGGTTTGCTTTGTTTTGTTTTGGTTTTGCTGGGTTTTTTTTAGTTTGTTTGTTTTTTTGTTTGTTTTTGGTTTTTTAAGGAATTAATTTATTAGGAAGATTGTTTGCACCCACTTCCATGACTGATAGAAGAAATAAGTGTATAGAAATCCAGTTCCTGTAACAGATTATATTTTATAGAGGATGTGTTACCTCAACAACTAAAAAACCAAAGGAAATGCAGAAAGTAACAGCCACAAAAAAGCATCTTTATCATTGCATAAGAAAATTATTATGTCCAGACTGAAGCTCTCTGAGTTCAATGCCTTTTTACTTAACAAAAAAAAAAAAAAAAAAAAAAAAAAAAAAAAAAATTCTTTTTCCTAAAAAAAAAAAAAAAAAAAAAAAAAATCAAAAATCCATGAGCAGAGCTCCTTTAAGAACCTGTAGCAAAGGTAAGTGGCAAAACGGAGTCAGAGGGGAAACAGCTTCAAGCAAAAGTTATTATTTCTCTTCTCTTTGTGAGTTTAGGCCTAGATTGGATTGTGCTGCACTTGAAGTTTTGTGTTAGAGGATATTGGACATGTGCTGCTACTCCTTGTCATTAAGGTTGTTTTGTACTGCTGAAGTTCAAACCTGCTCTCTCTGTTCTGCAGGTCTTTGATATCTACATAGTCCTTTGGTTTCATCATTTTGCTTTCATCAGGAAGGTATTCAAAATGCTATCTGAGCAATGTGTATTTATTTGCTGAAAGCATCTTGTCATATGATGTCAGTTCATGAGTGATCATCTCAGCCAACACTGGCAAAATAAAATGAAATCTTTCTTGCACCAAGTTTAATAATTTCCATCATGGATTTTGGATGAAGTAGAATGCTGAGGCTGTGGAAATCTTCTCGGCAGTATCACAAAGAACACACAGGCTTCTATTTTCATACAATCTTCAGTAATTTCTCTTTATGAAATCCAGTGTATCACACATTAGAAATCAGATTTTATTCCCAAACTCAGCCAGGTTTTGTTCCTAACTTTTACATTAGATTGGTTTGGAGCTTTTGAAAAAATGAAAGTTAGCTTGAGAATTATCTCAGTACAGCTCCTAGAAGACAATTAAAATCTTTCAAGCCCTAAATCCAACTGTCATTAATTGGTTCCCCTGCTATAGTTCAGTAGTATAAAGGCCATAAAGAGCAGGAGTCTCTTGGATGATTTTTAATCTGGGGGAAATCAGATCTCTTCTACTAGCTGTCCAAAAACATTTCATGTTTTTAAATGAAGTTACCAAAAACAAAATTAGTAATTTTCTCAGGGTTTGTTTAGACACCTGGCTTTCAGAAACAGTAAGAAAAACGGGTTTCATTAGGAAAAGGGACAAAAATCCTATGTAAGCAGGTATCCCCTTCTTATAGGGTGAATCACCTGATCTCACAGGTGGTTACAAAAGATATTTTTTAGTCCTGGATAGTACTAAGATATTCCTGGGATGCATTAAACAATATTATAAGTTTTATTATTGCTTTGTCTTCCATGAACTTTCATGTGCTTCATCAAAAGAAAGCCAAGCCTGTACAATTTTGAACATGGAAGGCAAATACAAAACAAGAATATAAATGGATATGAAGAAGGCTGATAAGTCTTGTTGGAGCTGGCACATCAGATAATTTCAAAAGTAGAAAAACAATGCTATATCCCCTAGATCCCAGTCTACTGTTCTAACTATTGCATCGAGTTACCCACAATAGTTTCTTTCTAACCATAAGTTACAGAAGAAACCTAATAGCTGCAAAATGGGAGAGAGAAGACTAAACTGGTAGAAAAATAGATGCTCCTCCCTATACTGATAGCATCGCTCATGAAGAATATAGGGGGTTTGTATTTAATTTTATTTGTTAATTGGTTGACAATATTAATTTAAAAGATGGAATTTTATTGGGATTTCTTGAACAAAAACATCCAAGACAAAAGGAATTGTTACCAAAAAAACAGTTGTAAAAAGATTAAGAGAAAAATAAAAGATGCTCTTTTTGTTCGGTTTATTTTTATTTTTTCCTTTAAGATTGCATGCCCTATTACTAAGAAGAAAAAGAAGATAACTCCTATCTAAAGAAATATTTATTTTCAGTATATTTTCAATGCAAATAAACAGTTTACCTTCAACAGTGAAATTTATAAATGGAATAAAAATGGCAAGATTTTTTCCTTCTTTACTCTCCTTCTTTTACCACAATCAGACAAACTATAATACTATCTAAACAACTACACACATTAGGAAAAAATGAAGATCAATAGCTATAATTTGACACACATACACTGTTCACTGTGAAAACATCAATAATACAAAAGCTTCATGGGCATAGCAGGGAAGAATCTGTTTGGTAGATGGTGTTGGCAGAAGATTAAATAACCACATGTCAGAAAGCATAAAAAAAATTCAATAAACTGAGTGCATACTGGAGATGTGCAAGTACTTTGAGCTAAACTGTTAGTATTAATAAGAAAATTATCTTTGTCTTCCAGTCATTCAGTTGCTTCATGGAGAAATATTTTGGCTTGGATCTCTGATATTCAAACATATACTGTCTTTCCTATCTGCCAGAGGACTGCTACTAAAAGGCAGGGAAACAGGAAATGACTTGCATGCTGGACGATGATATCTTGAGCTGCTATTTCATAAACAGTGCTATAGGTGACTATTCATCACATCCTGATCCCTAACACACTGAAGGAATCATGAGAGAGAGATGCAGCCAGCAACTATTTGGCCAGGAAGAAAAGAGACACAGTTTTGGGAAAGCATCTGACATGAAATAGGACTGAGGGTCAGGGCTGAATCACCATGTCCAGCATGTGCACATTGAACCCTCCTATTAAATCTCACGGTGTTACTCTGACATGTACACTTAAGGACATGCTTAAAGACTTACAGGATCATGCTTTCAATGTCCTAGATATCCACTGTTCATTAAACTATTTCAAAATGAGAGGTGCTTTGTAAGACCACAAGTCTTTAATATCTGTTCACCACATAACTCCATTCCTTTGACCATTGTGCCTAATCCATAAAAGCTTCTCATTAGTTTGTTTTACAAACCAGTTTTTCTTCTTTCTCCTTCAGGTAGTCTGCTTTTTGTTCTTCAAGTGATGCAAATTCCAGTCCTTTTTAATTTTAGTTAAAGTTTTGAGTCACAAAGATTTAGAAAACAGGTCTCATTAACTTTCTCTCTCTCCAAAAAACAGCCCAGGCTGGATCATCACTTTGCACTGAAGGCTCTTCAAAAAGAGCTGATATTGTCAACAAAGGTAAAACAAATAAACAAACAAAGAGTGTAAAATTGTTTTGAAATATGAAATATGCATCTCACAAAAAGGTATTTTTATATTCCTCCTGCCTGATGGTTATATATGACAAATGGGTACTTCCACACATAAATTATACTCCTAAAAGCTATTTTGTATGTACTTGTGCACCTAGTGAGAATTCTGAATATTCACATTTATCTAATGTTTGCTACTATGCTGCCAATTCTTCATTTTGTGATATAAGTAATGAGATTTCATTGGTTGTGTTTACATTTTTAAAGACTCGTAGAGTGATATGATTATATGCAAATTCAATTGTAACTAAACCAAACAAATGAAAAAAAATTCAAAATGTGTTTCAAGCTGCCATGGTTAGGAAGAAGAATATCAGGTCCTGTGTCTTAATTAAAATATATATATATTAACATTGCTTTATTGAAATTTCTTTACTGAGGCTTTTATAATTCTAATAAGGCCTGATCCATGATATCTTTATGTCCATGTTTAGTAATATAGAAATTTAGGAATCAATTAGAGTCTGCAGTTTAAGTTACTTAGTTGAGGCACTGAACTCAGGAACTTACTTACACTACATTTTTTTACATTAATGCTAAGATTGATGTATCTGCACAGAGAAATTCATCCAGCCCAGGACCTGGCTATCCTCTAAGCACCCAAAGAGAATATTCAGGTTGATAGGCCTTTTAGTATTTGTGCCACATCCCTGTATGTGTCACTTTTAATATTTCTTAGATTAGTTAAATTCAATCCTATCTATATCTTAAATTCCCAAGACTGTGGACCACATCAGCTCAATTTTCAGACTTGGTTGTTTTGTTTGTTTGTTTGGTTTTTTTTTGTTGGTTTTTTTTTTTCTTTTCTTTTTGTGTTCTCTCTATGTGATAGCAATTTGTTCAGCGGCCCTGCCAAGGGATGAGATACATCTCCCACCTGATCAGTTCTAATATTTTTGAGAAAGGCACGTGCAGTCCGAGTCCCAGGCATCATGAATCTGACAGCTGAAATCAATCAGGAAGCCCTTGCTGATATTTCCCAAGAACAATATATTGGCCTTGTAACTTCTATGGGTTTCCCATATTTGGCCCAGGAACATGAACCTTTTCTGATCTTCTGGTCCCATGTTTTTTACCCAAGGATGACAGTTCATTTGGGTAGTTTAGTTTTAAAGACAAGAGAATGTTTGACCTATCAGATGGTCTGGGTTTAAGCTAGACAGTTTTTTTGGCTGCTGTGAAAAAAATATCTTATAATTTACAAATACATAACTAACAGGAGCCATGCTTTCAAAAATTTCCAAGTGAGCCTGCTCTAGTTTACACTGAGAACTGAATTCAGTCTACCTGCTCAGAGAATTCAGCATGAGAAAAGCAGTTTGAAAGATTTAAGGGTATAGCTACAATGCTAAAGGTGCCTATCCATATGTACAGACCAAAAAGTGCAGAAAACATTTCTCTATACAAGTCTCTTCTACTAAAGCATCAGTTTTCTTGCTTCTTAGAATCTAGTTTGACTTTCTTAAGAATTTTTCTTTGCCTTTTTTTTTTCTTTTTTTATTATTTTCTTCATTCTAACTTTAATTTTTAAGATCTAAAGTGCCTGAAACAACATGAGTGCTGTGCTCATGTGAGTGACAGATTTGAGTACCTGATATGATAAGGTCAAGGGTCTACATCACATTTCTGACTTGTGAGGGACATGAGGAGCTCTTAATGGTGCAAGCGATGATGCAATAGGGACTGCAACACCTGTGCAACACCTGTGCAAATGGGGAACGGGATGCATGGCACAGCCTCACACCTCCTGCCCACAGGCATGAGTCGTCCCCAGAACTATATCAGGATTTCACTCCAAAGGAAAATTATTGGCTTAGTCCTGGAGAAAGAGCCTGTTAGCAAACTAACATGACAATAATTAAGGAACAAGGAGCAAATGCAGAAACTGAAAATATTTGGCAATTTAAATGCATCCCTACAGAGTTACTTTATTAATATTCCTTGTGTGAGAATAAGAAAGACTCAGAATCAAAATTTTCTCTTTCTTTCTCTTCAGTAAATGGTTAATTTACTGTGATAGCAGAGTAAGAAATGACAGTGTTAACCTGTCATTACCTAGTGTCAAAGGGCATTTATGCCACAGCTTCCAGATTTGAGAAATTTTCTAGCCCTAGAGAATATTGTTCATTCAAACAATGTCTGAGTATTTTTACTACACTGAGAAATGTCTGCAGACAAAGTTAGAAGAAACATTTTTTTTTTTACTTTTTAAAAATTATTATTATTTTTGTGGAACAACTGCATTACATTTTAATAAACCTATTTGCCACGGTACATAGCTTTACCAAAATTTTCATGTTTTTTGCTAAAGTTTGTCAAAGAACAGAGAATATTCTTGAAAACAACCCCAACAAAGAAACATATTGTTTTTCCTTTAATATTACTCCTTTCTTTGTTCAATTCATCTTTCTGTGGTTTATCCGCTTGGGTTTCTATGTCTTATAGTTGAAGTCAGAGAGTGATTATAGATCAACTGATTGAAGAGTCAGGATTTAGGCATCTGTAGTGGATTCAGCCTGGCTGGATGACAGGTGCC